CGTCTTCGTCTCGTCTGCATGCATGCGCGAGTCACGATTCACGAACACTGAAATAAATATCTGGACTTTTTAAGCAATAGAAAGAGGGAAAAAACATGAATTTTGCTTGCATGCATGGTAGTATATATAGTGTAACTAGTACGAGCGGTACTGTACCGCACGTACCTTAGTTTGTGCACAGTGTAGCAGTGCTCTGTAGCTAACCAAAAGCTGGTGGTGCTTAATTCTAAGACACGGCTAGTTAGCTAGCTACCTCATCATTGTCAAATACTACTAGTGACTATTTCCATCAGTTAGTTAGGAACATTAGGTGATGGGATTCCAGGCAGGAATTGCATGCTCAACCATACAAAAAAAAAACAAAGGTATTTAGGATAAGGGGAAAAAAGGAGAATACAAAACATGGGATCACGTTGCCTGCATGTGCGGCAAGACTCCTCGGGTCCTACCAAGACCAACCACTACTTCAAAATACTAGGATAGGCTAGTTGCCTTGCGCTTGTAAAGAAATCGATCAGAGTGGAAACTTGGGCCTTTATATATATGATACATACATAATATAATATGCATGGTTCTTTCATTAGCTTTGAAGGAAAAAAAAACAGAAAAAGAGAAATAAGCTGCAAGGTTGACCGCTCCTTAGCAACATTCCGAGCACTACTGATGCCACACAAAAACACAATTATTCTTCACCAGCAAATCCTTACAACGAGTCTCTTTTTTTTGGAAAAGCACGAGCAAGAAATTTGTTGTGCATGTATTAATAGAGTAGAAGCAAAGTACAACAAAACCTTTACAAGCAAACAAAAAAAAAAAAAAACTCAAACCCAGGGCTACCGTTGTTGCGTCGCCGCAACAACGACCGCAGGAAGACGCCTTCAGCTGGCTATCGCTGCCGAAGCAATCCTGGTAACATCTCTAGTTCTCTACCTTACAAGCATTTTTGTGATGTCTTTGTTCCAACAAACGCGATCATCTCTGAATATGTGAACACTTGCATACTAATTGTTTCCAAGTTCTTTTCAGGTTATATAGCTACTTCACAGATCCTCTTTTATCGAACATTACACCTTTTGGCTTTTGCCATGGACATCGACTAGGAGATGTGAATGAAAGTATACATATATATATATAGAAGAAAAAGGCAAAAGAAGGCTTGGGACAGGGGCGGGGGGGAGAAGGGAGCGTCGGCCATGTGGAGTATATTCTAAGCACGCCACTAATAATAATGGAACAGTACAAGATTTGAACTGTAGGAGAGTGAACTCAGGCGTTGGTGATGATACCTATGCGCTGTGCGATGCGACCGAGGGCCTGCAGCTAAGCTTAAGCCAGCGTCGGTCACCGACACGGCGACTCCACCGGCCGCAGCCCGCGCCCGGCACCGGCGGTCGGCGGTGGCGCAGGCCTTCATGTCACGTTGCTTTGATGAATTGGTTTACTGTCTTCTTCTAAAAAAAAGATACAAATTGATCTGATTTAAATCAAATTAAAATTAAATTTATAGAAAATAGTATGGACATTTATGACTTCAATTCAAACAGATGTACTATAAAAGCATATTTCACGATAAATTCAATAATATATGTTTAATATGTTAAATATTGAATATTATTCTAGAAGTGTATCTTTGGACGGAGGCAGTATCGGCGTGCGGCGAGTTTGCCTCGGAACTTCCACCGCGGCAGAGATGTCAAATGGTCCCAGTCAAATCACCCCACCCAACCACAATAGCAGCGGAATTGTAAATTTTTTTGGTTGCTGCCGCACCTTCGAACAAAACGAATAGACGGAGGTCCACGACGTGGTTCCTGGTACGCGAGCGACTGCCTGACAAATGTGAGCATACCAGCTGCACATATAACAAGTCGAGGATCAAGCTACTGACAAAACGCGACGACTTGATCCGATATTTTCTGAAACGAAATGACGTCCAAATCAGAAATTCAACTCAAACCACACTACTTTCTTCCACTGCATGTTGATAATCGATCGACGCATTTTCTGCCTGCATGCGCGGCCGATCGATCTCATCTCATCTGCTAATCCTCCATTTAGCGCGCGCGGTGCAGTGGTATATGTGCATGTGGACAGTGGAGTATTCCCTCGTTAAAAAAACAGCTCCTGCCGATCTGAATCTCAAAGACTGATCAAAGGCAATGTATGTGGCTAGTGAGAGCTAGCATAATGCCGGCCCGGCGCAACGCAAAAGGGAGACAAAAATGATGTGAAGAATTCGTTGGGTCACATGCATTCAGCACATGTTGGTTGCTGGTGGTGGTGTGGATATGACGGGAGAGAGAGAGAGAGAGGTGGGCTTCTTCCAGGACAGTGCATGTATGCATCCCATGTGAGATGTTCTTCAGTTCAGATCAAGCCCATGCACCTGCTGCTCCCTAGTCTTCCCCACCCCACCCACTCACAAGACACCAGCAAAATCTCCTTATTTCCTAGGTCAAACCAGCGCAAAATGTTCCAAGCAATGCAATACTCCAACAACCATACAAGTTCAGAGAATCGCCGGTCAGGCACTCAGGCTCAGGGTGCGTCCGGCGGTCCGGTCCATTGTCTAGGATTCGAGTTTTGCTAACTGTGTGACTGTATGAACAGTCAGGTAAGCGTCTGGTCAGGGACTCAGGAAACTGCAGCAGAAAATGGGCAGTGAAATTGCAGCTCTCACCAAACATAAATAATCCAACTGAAAATTCTGTACAACTGAAATTGCAGTTGCATGATAAAGTCTGAATGACCACCACCAGTTATGCCACAATGAAAGCTGCATTCTAAATCTTTGTGCTTTGTGCATATATAGTTTCTTCACAACATTCTTTGCAAGAGAAAAGAGATCATTTCAAAAAAAAAAAAGAGAAAAGAGATCAAGCACAAAATAAATAAGTGCTGACATCGTAGATTTTTCCTCAGTTCTCCAGGCTATCTGTCAGGAGCTCTGGGTCGATTCATGTGAAGAAGCGACAGCAGGATCATCACTTTGGATCAACAATACATGTACCAACCGATGTGCATGTGAAAGGAGCATCTGTGCGGGATCTATGTATTCTAACTTCATTTTCTGACCAAATTGACTTATATACAGTTCAAATAATTTTGGGCACTAGTTTGGTCATGAAGCTGTATTGCATTCCTTTTGCTATCTTAGGTTCTGGCCATTTATTTAGCTCCTTCTGCTACATGGACGCATTTGAAAACTTGTGCTGTTTCTTTGTACAGGCGCAGGGCAGCTATGTTTACATCACAATGCAATGCCATGGCCCATGGCCTAATGGCCTGGCATCCCCAAATCATCACTCGAGCCTCTGCTTCTTGGACCTCCAATTCTAAACAATGGGAATTCAAATTCAGCTCGGCATTTCCTTGAAGATTCGGTTCACTGTTCTCAAGAACTTCCCTAGATAATCAACAATAATCTTTAAATGTACTTACTGCCCAGAATTGGTTGTGTATTGCATTTTCTTTTGGAAGCTGTAGATAGGTCAAAGTTTCCTCATGTTTTACGTGGTTATAAGGAATGGTACACTTGTTCAAATTGTAGTGTCAACCATGTCTTTGTTTCTAACAAAAAGAAATGGTTATCTGCATGCGCACAACTATGGGCATGTTTGTATATAAGGGCTAATTGCTAGCTAGCTAAAAATTAGCTCTAGCGCATCCAAACTGAAAACCTAATAGAGTAATAGGTAAGCTAATTTTTAGCTTAGTCTTCAACTAGTTATTAGTCAACTAGCTATTCAGCCACAACTAATTTTAGTTAATTTTTAGTTCCAACTAGTACCTAGTACATGCCCTATATCCAGACATCCACGTATTTGGCAACTACACTGGACCCCATACTGACCGTCTATAGAAAGAAGATACCGTGTATAAGCATCTCAACAACATTTGAATAGCAGTGTTTTCTCCAAGTTCCAAATAATGTTAGGACAACATCTCATCAGTTCATCAGCGTAGAGCTAGCACGCTTAACAATGCGTGCAAAAAAAAGAAGGTGCCTTTTCACCGAGTAAGTGAAAAAAATAGCCAGTCTCAATGCTTAGTTTCACTACACGATTTCCAAAACGCCACATCAGCTTGAGCGGGATGAAACAATGAATGAAACTAGCCTTCACAATGCAGCGTTTCATTTCACCAATTCCAAAACTAAGTAAAGCATTTAATTGCTGTATAATGATTGGATCATATGTATCGATTGATTATGTGGGATGAAACTCTCCCTCTCAATGCGGGTGTCGTGGGGTTACCAAGAGCTTAGAAACAGAGCTAACGAGTGTCGTGGCCATGAAACGAACTTGTTCTCTCTCCTCACCATTTCATGCAAAAAGTGTTCCCATGCTGATGTGTCATCTTAATTAATGTGCATGACACTCCCATGACATCCCCATTGAGACTGGCCTAAACACTTATTCAGATGGCTCTGTTGTTTATTCAAGTTCCATCCAAGCACTGTTCGCTCCTGCAGTCCTGCTGCTCTCTTCCTCTTGACACGAAAAAAAGGAGCCCAAGCCCACATAAATTAAGTCCAATTATCCATCCATCGGTCTAGCCCACCTCTCTTCCTTGTACTTGTTCCTGCCTGTAATCTTCACTGCAGCGGAGTGTTTCGCGTTCTGTTAGAGTCAGACAGACGCGTGGATCTGATTTGCTGCTTGGCCCGTTTTCGTTTTTTTTTATCCCGTCACTGACGGCCAGGAGCAGGCCCAGTCGCTATCTCCGTGCTGACGGGCCCACAAGGCAGCAGGGAGGTCAGATCGGCCCAGCAAATCCACTGGGCCTTTCAGGGCGAAGCGGTTATCCCCAAGCCGATGACGTGCGCAGCGTAGGAGGTAGGACCAGTGGCCACCCCCCAGGCCCCCACGCTCTGTCCCGTCGCGACTCGCGACCACCAGTCCAGCCCGTCCACCACCACCACCACCTCAGCCGCTTCCTCCCAACCAGCTCTCGCTGTCCTCCTCCTCGGTTTCTCCTAGAAGCTGAAGCTCGATGCGATGGCGACGCTGGTGCGGCCGCCCGTGCTGCACGTCCGCGCCGTGAGCGGCGGCAGCGGCGGAGGGAACAAGGACAGGGTGGCGCAGCGGCCGTGGTGGGGCGGAAACAAGCCCGTCTCGCCGCGCCAGCCGCGGCAGTCGGGCGGGAGCGGGGCGCGAGGAGGCGCGGGCGGCGGCGGCGCGCTGGACCAGGTGCTGGGCGTGCTCCGCCGCGACGGCGAGTTCCTCCAGGCCGCCGCCGGCGCCCCGCTCCGCGACGTCTTCTGGCTTCGCTTCCTCGAGAAGAAGCAGCGGAAGCAGCAGCAGCCGAGACCTAAGCCCAAGCCTCTGCGACAGCAGCAGCAGGAGGAGGTGGTAGTGGTGGATGAGTCGCCCCCGGCCTTCCCGCCCCCTTCGTACTCGCCAGGTTCCTTACCGGCTACCAGAGCTCATCTCAATTCGACCCCATTCCGCGCGCATCGTGTTGCTGATGGCCACATTTCTCCGGGTTTTGATAGGGTTGTCGTGCGTGGAGCTAATGGCGGCCGACTTCCAGGCCCTCAAGGTGTATGCCGGTAGCGCTCAGCACTCTCTCGCGCGGCGATTCCTCGGTAACAAGGGGAAGTTTGAACAGCAATCTAGACAACCCCAGGAACAGCAGAAAGAGCAGCAGCAGATACTTCAGGCCCCGACCTTCCCTCCGCCCTCGTACCCACCAGGTTTCTAGCACGATGCAGCAGGAGCTCTAGATTTGGTGTAAATTAAGCTACGTCAGTCACATTATTGGCTAATTTTATCAATGTTATTATGGTAGGGTTGTCCTGTATGGAGTTGATGATGGCTGATCTTGAAGCCCTCAAACTGTACATCCACTACTATTCAGCCATCCTCACTACGCCACTCCCCCAGCATTACGATCCTGACCTCCTTGCTCAGTACTTCGCCTCACGTCCTCATATCCTTGCATCTCGTGTCTTTCAGGTTAACTACGAGCCCTTCCTTTGCTTTTAGTACTAACCTATACTTGCTTCCAGTTATTGTAACTAATATGTCCATTTGCTGTCAACCTTTGCTCTGCAGATACTCTTCACATTTGTCTCAGCTGTGGTGAAGATGCAGATTTCTAAAAGAGCTCAGTTGACCACATATGCTACCTATAGTAGTGGCAACAGCAGCAATGGTTTTGATGATACTCAATATATGGTCGGTCAACTTCTCAAGGAGACATTTCTTAACCTTGGGCCTACTTTTGTTAAAGGTTGGGTAGTCATGCTTGGCAAGACAGCATCAAGGCAAGGTGGCGGTCACCTGGCTCGGATTGCCTCATGACATCTGTCTTTTCTTATGTATGCAGTTGGACAATCACTTTCTACAAGACCTGATATCATAGGTTCAGAGATTTGTGAGGTTAGGTAATTTTCTCCCTGTTCTGCATTTTTGTTGCCTCATTAGCATTTGCTTGATATCTGGCGCGGAATGGGGACACGAGACCTGATAATCTGATATCATATGGTCTTCACATTCTTTTACTAGAAATTGACTAGTTCAGTGCTACTCAATTTTAGGCCCTTGCTGAGTTGCATGAAAGAGTTCCTACTTTCCCAAGAGAGGATGCAATGAAGATCATTGAGGGAGAATTTGAGTGCCCTGTGTCGCATATGTTCAGTTACGTTTCGGATGAGCCTGTAGCAGCTGCTTCCTTTGGACAGGTAATATCCTCATGTGCCTCCTTCCTGCCTGTGCTATGTTAGAACAAGTTATTTGGAATTTCTGATGTAGTCTTATTCAATTTTCTGTATCATTATTCTCAATATGTACTATTGTGCTCAAGGAAGTCTTGTGTTTTTTACTTCAGGTCTACCAGGGGCGCACAGTTGATGGTGCTCTTGTTGCAATAAAGGTTCAGCGGCCAGACCTTCTACCTTCTGTACTGAGAGACGTCTATATTCTACGCCTTGGGGTATGTATATTTTCATCTAACATATAAGCTGTTGCTCTTCACTCATCCGGTGATTTTTGTTGTGCTTATGACACTCTTTGCATGCTTTCTCATCATCTGCCCATGGTCAGTTTCCTGGGTTTTGGTGCTTTTATTTACTGTCCCTTAATGTGCTATCTGTGATTTTATTGTTTGCATTGTCCTGTTCATGGGATTTGTTTGTAACAGCAAAATCCATGGTCCTATTTCCAATACGGATAGCCTTTCTCTCACCTTAAGAAATACTGCAGCTGCACTTAGCTTCCCTGTTCATGAACTTGCTTTAGCTATAACTTAGTGTAATTGTGACTGCAGCATCACAGCATTTTTTATCACTTAAGTCTCATTGTTGTGATGCTTTTTTATTCAGTTGTTTACCTCCTACAATTTATTTCAGCTTGCTTTCATACGGAAGATAGCCAAGCGAAGAAGTAATATTTCTCTTTATGCTGATGAGTTGGGTAGAGGTTTCGTCGGCGAGTTGGACTACAATATTGAAGCTGCTAACGCTACCAAATTTATGGTGCTTTTTTTCTTGTCTCTTGCCTGTGCTTTTGCTAACTTATACGATCCTGTTAGGTTCGGTATTTTAGCTAATAATTTCCATTTTTGCAGGAGGTTCATTCCAGATATCCTTTCATGCTAGTTCCTAAGGTTCTTAAACAACTTACTAGAAAGAGGGTTTTGACAATGGAGTGGGTGGCTGGTGAGAACCCCAAGGATTTACTTTCTTTGTCTAAAGGAGTTTCTGAAAAAATTACTCAAGCTTCAGATAAACAGAAGTTGGAAGCAAAATCTCACCTTCTTGACCTGGTATTTACTAATGATTTTGAATAAATTGTTATCAACTATCCAGTATTTTCCTCTTGGAAAAATTTGGAATTGAAGTTGTTTTATGGGAAAGCTTCTCTATCAATTTCACATTGTAACTTAGGTAGCTCTGTACCATTTCACACTTATTTCAGAATCACAGCACTTTAAAACATCAATCTATTGAATCTTGAGGGGTATTTTTTTTTCTGTTATGATGGTGTAGCATGAACTTACAATGACCAGTACATTTCACAAGCTCAATTTAAACTAGCTGCACAATATGTTTTAACATTTTGTTAATTACTCATAAGGTCAATAAAGGTGTAGAGGCATCGCTAGTGCAGCTTCTTGAGACAGGCTTGTTGCATGCTGATCCTCATCCTGGTAACTTGCGTTATACTCCTGAAGGTCGTGTTGGGTAAGCTCTACTCCAAATAAATTCTAAACATGGTTTCACATGCTCTATACTTACATAGTTGCTTTTCATGTTTCCCTCAATTCACATTTCATGTGATATGAGATACACCTTTTGTGGATTTATATTTTATAGTTATGAAGCTTTTGTAATAAAATACTTCTGAAACTATTGATAACATATTCCTAAATACATCAGGTTTCTAGATTTTGGTTTGCTTTGCATGATGGAGAGGAAACATCAGCGTGCTATGCTTGCAAGCATAGTACACATAGTAAATGGAGATTGGGCTTCCCTCGTTTATGATTTGACTGAAATGGATATAGTTCCACCAAAAACCAATCTACGTCGTGTGACAATGGTAATTCAGCAAACTGCAGCTGTACCATGTATGTTTTATGTTTTCAGTTCAGTTCCTTGGAATTGCCACTTATATAGTCTGTTGTTGATGTCTGGCTGAAATGAAATGATTGAGCATAAGACAGTCACTAAATGAAATGAACAACAGAAGTAAAACTAGTCAATTAGAGTCCATTTGTTTTATTGAAATTCATGTAGAAACTATGTCTGAGTGACTCGTGGACCAGGGACCCTCATGTCAACCTCACAACAAGTGGCATATGCTATATTTGTTGAACATGGGCTTAATGTTATATGGAAGATAGAATTTATACTAAAATATTGTGGCCTTGTTTGATGTTGATGTCTATCTTGCATTTTGTATGTTCCCTCTTTACCAGTTGGATAAAGAGGAGTTTATAATCGATGACCTGATATCCCATATTAATGTGGTCTGGTCATTGTTCAGTGAATTATTTGTATATAGTATACAGATATTAATGCATACGCTAACCATTTTTCTCAATGATTGTATTTTGTGTCTTCCATGTGTTAGGATTTGGAGGATGCATTAGGCGAGGTAACCTTTGAAGATGGAATTCCAGAAATCAAGTTTAGTAAGGTGGGTAGTTCACTCTGTTGTAGGTTCAATTCAGGGCAGTGGTGGCTTGATATCTTCGTACCTATATTTTATTTCAAAAGAAGCACCGTACCTAATGCAGTTCTTTTCACATTGCTTTTGCCCTTGTTTATTGCTGCATATACCTTCTAGGTGCTTGGAAAAATTTGGTCTGTGGCATTTAAATATCACTTCCGTATGCCACCTTACTACACACTGGTTCTCCGGTCACTTGCCTCTTTGGAAGGTTAGCTTGTTCAGTTGAAATTGAGATACCGAACTAATTCAATACATAAGCATATAGGCTTATTTCTTTTCAAAGATGCATATTTTGATGGCAACTATTTTTTAGAGGTTTATTGTTTTCCTTCCTTTCTTACTGATAGGACTGGCCGTGGCAGCAGATGGGACTTTCAAAACATTTCAAGCAGCATACCCGTATGTTATTCGGAAGCTTCTTTCCGACAATTCACTTGCAACAAGAAGACTCTTGAATCAGGTAACATTCATTTATCTCATCTAGTATGTCTGCAGAACTATCCTCTGAGGTAGGCCCATTGATGTAGTACTAGGGCCAGCATCAAGGCCTTGTTGGCTTCAACATCAAAGTTGGACCAATATAACCATGTTATGCTGTATTCCTGTTCTTGTAGACTCCATTTATGTGATGACTAACACCAATCAGTTTTCTTACACAGGCAATTTTCAACAAAAGGAAAGAGTTCCAATGGCAGAAGATTGCTGCATTTCTAAAATTGGCTTCAGCAAGGTTTGTGTCATGGTTCTTATCTCTTTTTTTTGTATAAACTGGTTTGGTTTGTTTTAATATGTTGGTTTTTTCAATGCCCTCTTAAATTATTTAGTTAGTGATAGTGATATCTTCTGGTGAGTCAAGTACTCCCTCCGGTGAAAAATACTTATCACATTTGGCTTTGCATGGTCTTTGATTTCTTCTCGAATATATTCTTAAAAACTTTTTTCAGTTCAATTCTACACATATAACTTACACATTTTCAAACTAAATAGTTTAAAAGGTCGGGGGCATAAACTCTTTGGTGTTTTTTTTTTTAGTTAAAGAAAATAGGAAGAACAAAATGCTTTGAAGATGTTATATGCTTAGTTTTGTTGAGTTGAAGGATGATACGCATGTGCTAACTATACTCGGCAAGCAAACATACAGTTCTTTGTAATACTTACACGTCCACGTATGTTATTTTCATGTTTGAAGGACCAACTTCAAGTATAACAGTGAAGTTTTGCCAGAGCCTGACATGAAGGCCATGAATGTGGCTAGCCTTGTAGAGATCAGTGATTTATCTTCACTTGACCGTGCTACAGCTACACCGGAGAGGGCATTGCATACTGCAAACCTGTGTGTGAGGCTTTTATTATCAAAGGACAGCGTTGTGATTAGGAGACTTATCATGACAGCGGTATGTATCACATCTTATCTGCACCCTTCTTTACTTGTGTTGTAGCAACAGGTCCTCCTGACCGACATTTGAGATTGGCCTAGTTAGCTCACTCTGAATCCTATTGTGCAGAATGCAAAATCTCTTGCCCGTGATCTAATCTCCAGAGATGCTTTGATGTTCCGGGTGCTCCTTAGTAAGGTTATTGCGGATGTTGTCTGCCAATGGATGTTGAATGCCACAGGCTTGAAACGAGTTGCAGAGACCAGGATCCAGACGCCCATGACCACAGGAAAGAGCGAGGAACATCTGGTGCTGGCTGAAGAATCATCGACCCTGATGGCACTCCAGGCGGCAGTAAAAGACCGAAGGATGCAGCTCATATTCACCAAGTTTGTGAGGGAGTTGAGAGAGGAGCCCGTCTTGATGTTTAGGGTGAGCTGGAACATGTTCCTCATCTCAGTCTCAGCTGCCGCTGTAGGCCTGCACCGTTTCATGGTGTTCCTCTTGAAGGAGGGCAATGCCAGGTTCTTGGATGACAAGGTCAAGAAAATGAAGATTTGGCTGATGGAGTTCTGGAAGCGGACGGCTAATTTGGAGATTGAAGGAGTTCGGTGAATGGTGGTGCTTTTGGTGAAGGATTTAGTTGCTGCTTCGTACTCTTGTTTTGGTGTTCTTGGTTGCTCATGTACTGTGTAGCTGTATATAAACGTTGCAGGACCAGTGAGTAATTCTATGGCCGAGTAAAGTGCAGTAGTGGTCCCTAAACTTGTTTAGGTGTCACATAGGTTTGTGAAATTTTAGTTCACAATATCTTTTTAGAAAACTTGGGTGACATGAACCCCTCAGTTTTAGAAATGTGATCTAAAACCAAACCTATCTTTGACAAGTAATTTGTATAAACTTGGGTGGAATCGTTTGGATATATCATATATGTTTGTATATATGTCGGATTATATGTAAATTTATCGGATTATTTATATTCTTTTTTGAGGAAAACCGGATTGTTTATATGAACAGTGGTAAACGGAACTGTAAGCATTTCCCGCCACAAGCTCAGCCAAGCTCAGTGCGCAATGGGCTGAAGGCTGGATCCGACGACAATATTTGACCCTTTGGGCCAAAATGTGGGCTCGTCGTACCGGGAACCCACAGCCCACGATGAGGCAATTGCTTCGTGTCCATTGCGCCTCTCTCCTCGACGGAGCTCGAGTCTGGTCTGAGAGGTGGGCGGAGTTTCGGAGGTGATCTGACCTGTGAGGGGCTGAGGGCGGAGGATGGTGGGGGGACGAGGAGGAGGGATGGGGCGGCGGCAGGAGCGGCAGGCCCTGATGGTGGCGTTCGCGTTGGCGCTGCTCATGGGCACCGCCGTCTACTTTCGCATCTGGGCCCGCCAGTCCAGCGACCCCTCCTTCACCGCCGACGACCGCGAGGAGCTCCGGTTCGCCCCCAATTCCTCTCCACCTTCCTTCTTTTCAGCCGCCTACGATTTATAATTTCCTGTATAGGACCATCAACAGAAACAAAAATGGAAGGGATCAGTTTTTGCTTGGACTTCTGATCACACGATGAATGGATCCAAGTGTTTCATCTAATTTCTGAATTTGGTTAATCAATTGCCTGAATTATTCACCGATAATAGATTGTCGAGTGCTAACTGTATTTTGGTTTGGTTTCCTTGAATGTCTGAATATGGTTAACCAAAGGACTCTACTGTAGTCAACTAGCCATACAGCACTTCGGATCGAGTGATATATAGAGTTAACTGCTTGTTATCAACATAGACAAAGGAACTGGACGAACATAGATTAGTTATTCGGCCATGTAAGCAGGCCCGATCTTGTTTCTTATACATCTAGCAACCTCTTTATTATATGGACATATTCATGACTGCCATCCATGTATTTTAGCTTTGGAAGAGAGCAACTATGAGATATTGCCCTTTGCTGATTTATCATGTTACCTTAAGCATTACCTTTGCTGTTCACACACACACAAAAAAAAGCATTACCTTTGCTTCTCTTTTCATATGCTTGTTTTTTCCACATCAACCATCAGGAGGCAATTTGAACAAGCAAACCTAGAAGCGATGGATGAATCTGCCGAATGGAGGATGAAATATGACAAAGAGGTAGAGAAAAACAGGCAGTTGCATGATGAACTTTCAAAGGTATTGCTTGCTTACCAGATAGTTGTACATGGCTATGCTATGCTCCGACACTCCATCTATAACGCTCATGTGAGAATTCTCTTCACAGGTTAAGGCCTCGTTAGCTGGTACAGCCCGTCGTCTTGAGTTGTTGCAGAAGGTAATTTTGTTTGGGCGGTCAAATTTAGTCCTTTCTCTCTACTATACCATGCCCTTTCTACCTTGGGCGACCTTTAAATTTTTGCCAGGCCTTCCTCTCCGTCCCTTTTCATTTTTTATTCTCTCTATATGTGTACACCCCACTTAATCATTTCCATTGCTGCAGGATAACGAGTTGCAGAAGCGGCAGACTGAATCACTGAGGCAGCAATGCAATTGCACTCTCCATTGAAAACTACACAAGATTAAGGGCATGGAAGGAGTTTTTCAGCTTCTTTGGCGGATTAGCTAAACGCTTTTTGTTTGTCCAGCACCAGAGGGAGGAAAACCAGATTGAGTTATAGGAATTAGGACATATGAAAATGATTGAGAACATATCTATGGTTGACCATAGTGTTCGTCCGTTATACCAATGGTGAGCTGCACGCTTCATCCAAAGTGATCAGTTGCAATTTCATGAGTGGCAATGCAAATTGCAGAAGTCAAAATGCAAAAGATGGCGCCATGGTGCTTAGCTTCTATTTCTGAGTAAGGATTTCAGTTTCTGAGTAATTTTGCAGTGGCAGTTTGCATGTTTCTGAATACCTGACTATCTGTAAATATACATTGTACTCGGGATGCAAAAAAAATAAAAAATATTGACAAGTTTTAAATCCAGGACCGGGCTTATTGGCAGGAAACTTAATAATCCCTTGTATTATTGATTACTTACAGTTCCTTCCCTTGGCAGCATGTGCACTTCCTATGTGTACAATATTTTATTTACTAGCATAGTAACTTATTAAGAGGGTATGAAAAGTTAATAATTCCTATGCTAACCCATGTGACTAAAGAGGGTAAGATGGATTCCAGCATATTAATTTATTAAGAGGACGTTTATTTCATTAGGAGCCTTATTTTGTAACCACATCTTGTCACTAGACATGATGGAAACGAGTACATTTGACTAGTGCCAATTTTTAGCAATTTTGTAACACTTGGATGGTATTGTGTCAGCCATTTGATAACGAGAAGTAACGCTGAAAAAAGTTTATGCATCTTGGGCATCCTTTGGTTCTAAAACCTGCTTCTTCTCCATTATCACCAGCAAGATAGGCGTGCAGGAATTGATGCTTCCTTCTCCATTCAGACCAAAAGTCTTGGTAGTTATCCAAGGAGGCGAGCTCCTGGAGAATCCAGCGATATCTTTGGCTCCTTGTCTTCAACCGAGAGCTATCGGCTCGTCGTCGGCCGGCCAACGAGGCCACGGTACATAAACATATATCTCTACATATCTGTAGACTGCATCAGCAGTACACTGGCATCAGGTACTAACGCACTGTAGTGGCATGCACATATCCGTCTGCCAGATTTATCATATCATAGCTCACAGAAAAATGTCATCAACAGTGGAAGGATCCAATTGACAAGAGAATTGTTCAGGGAAAAAAGATCCAATCTAGTATACAAGATAAAAAGGCAACGCTGCACCAGTACACCATTCGTGCAGACTGTCACAAAAGTTGCATATGTTCTTGAACTGACTCTTCCGGAACTAAGAGCGCAAATGCTACATGCGCAGTCATGGAAGCAACAGTATCTTGCTGACGTGGGTGCTAGCTTCCATTAACCTATGAGCCTCAGCAGCTTCAGATAACGGAAATGTCTTGTAAATCACCAGCTTCACCTTGCCAGCAGCGACAGCAGGCCACACGTTCTTTTCCACCTCACTAACAATCTCTGCTTTATTAGCAAGGCTTCTGTTGCGCAGTCCAGCAGCTGCACACAATCATGGAAAAATATATCAAATATAAAAAAAACATGTGAAAAATTTAATCAAGTGCTAAAATAGGAGTGGCATTTAGGAACGTAGAGTTTGGTTGCTATTGCCTATAGCTGACAAAACATCAGCAAACTGGCATAAAAATTCCTACTGAGCATCACTGAAATGTAATGGATGACATTGCCTTGTAGGCTTGCGCAACTAAAATACCTTGTATGGTCAAACGCCGTGCGAGCACAGCTTGCAGGTTCACTTCAGCTACTATGCCCCCTTGGACGCCAATGATGAAAAGTCTACCATCAACACCTAAGCTGTTCAGATTGCGCTGGAGATATGACCCTCCAATATTGTCGAGAATCACATCAACACCTGGTAGTGAGATTTTCAGATTACAGTCAGGGATGTTGCACTATTTGATGATAATGCTTGATACATACTAGCTGCCAAAAAAGAGAATCAAAGTAGTTAATACAAGAAGAAATGCTATTAATGAACTATCAGCATTCATGTACCAGTGGCTGCATGCCTGCATATGACAACTCGGACCTTATGTTCAATGTAAAAGACCAAATATAATCAGGTGGTCTATTAATACCCTTTCCGTTGGTTTCCTGTTTGATACGTTCAACAAAGTCTTCAGTTTTGTAGTTAATGCATACATCAGCACCCAAACCTTTGCAGGCTGCTAGTTTTTCTTCACTTCCTACAGTAGTACAAAAAATTACTAGGGGCATTACCAGGAACATTTGACTTTATCTTATATCTGTAACAGTGAATAAACCTGCAGTGACAAAAACCTTAATTCCGAGGTGCTTCGCAATCTGTATAGCGAATGTACCAATTCCACTTGATCCTCCATGGATCTGCAAATTTGAAGATACACAATCATCAGGAACTAACACGGGCAGATAGATTCAATGCTAATCCCATGCTAAGAACATGCTTCCTTTCCTCTTGTAGTTAGGTAATTGCGAAGAGACTCCACACCCACAGCCCATTAGATGGCAGGGAAGAATTTGGTAGCCTTTTTTTATTTTAGGTATATGCCTTAACTATATATTTAACCCAGTATATTTTACTATTTTCAGTCTGCAATTGCGAAGGCTTAGCAGCTATAGAAATTGAACGCCTATCGATTTATGTGTACAAGATTATGGTCAGGAAATGAGAAATCGAAATGCAATCAATTACCAAGAGAAATGCTACTAATAAGAGAGCTGTTCTTACAAGGAATGATTCACCGGGGGAGAGGTGACTGGTCATGAATACGGTTGACCAGACGGTGCGCCACCTCGGGCAAGCCGGCTGCATCCGTCAGCGACACCCCCTCCGGTATCGGCAGCAGCTGTCCCGCCGGCACCACCACCTTGTCCGCGTACCCGCCGCCGCTGAACAGCGCGCAGACCTGTGAAGCAAAAGCACGGAAACCAATCAGAACATCAGCAGCAGCAGAAGCAAACCCCAATCAATCCACCGTAGGAGAGGTGGTGGGTTGAGTTTCATTTCACCTTGTCGCCTACGGCCCAGCGCGAGGGGGCGTTGGGGCCGAGCGCGAGGATGGTGCCGGAGCACTCGAGCCCCGGGTAAGGGGACGCGCCGGCAGGCGGCGGGTACCGGCCCATCCGCTGCACGGTGTCCGCGCGATTGACGCCCGCGGCGGCGACCTCGAGGAGCACCTCTCCTTCGCCTAGCGCGGGAGGGTCCTCCACCTCCCGCGCCTCCAGCACCTCCGGCCTGCCGGCGCGCGTGATCACCACGGCCCTCATTCTCCTCCCTCCCTTGCTTCCCCGCCCCGCTTGCCTTGCTTGCCGCTTCCCTGCCCCGTGTCCCTACCTAGACCCCGTGTCCGCTTACAAATACAATTCGTTTTTCTTACAAAGCTTCCCGTGTAGTAAAGCGAAATAAAGCGTTCGTCACACGAGTTCTACCAATGCATTACAGTGTACAAAAGCAAAACCAACAAATCAATCCTTGTGGGAGGATTTTCATCGTCCTCAATAGTCTTTCTCCACCGTCTGAAGAATACTTCGAAGTGACTTACATTAACAAAGATCAAGATCTCGACGGATACCTAGTTCCACCGCCGGCACTGCGTAGATGGACAGAACATTCTAGCCCGTAGGCAGTAGCTAGCCCCCTGCACTTGCCCCACCGTTCTGTAAAGCGCCCAAATAGCGAGGCACAGCCTCCTGCATTTTCCTTCGTTTTGTAAGGCTGACACAATAAGCGGAACCTAAATCCAAAATGATCTACAACATGGTACCTATAGCCTTTAACAGATTACATATACGTGAGACTTATTTTAGATGTCAAAAGAGGTATAATCTAAATCTGAGCATCCTCTCTCTACGAAACCTTAACCCTCAAATGCGACCCTAGGTGCCTGGATCTCGTCTCCCGAAGCTTCCTCGATGTAATGGTCTCTCATCTCCTCCAATCTATCCGTGTAGATGTGCTTGCATTGTCTCTAATCATGTGGAATCATGTGTGTATGGTGTTTTGGTATATGTGTATTTGCATTTGCAAAATGTATGGCTTAGGTTGATTGAGTACATTGTTGTTTAACTGTTTTATGTGCTGAACATGTTAGGTTAGTTTGGTTTCTAGTTATTTTAGTCATTATGGTTCTTTGTTTATTGTAGGTGTCATTAGGGTTAGTTATTTGTTGGTCATCAGAGTTAGTATGTATTTTAGTTATTTGTTGATCATTAGATTTCAATTTTTTATGACTAGAAATGATTATGTTGTTGGGGTTGAAAAAGATGAAATGATATATTTTAGTTTCTACTTATTAGATTGAAACTCGCATGATATATTGATATGTGACACTACTTGTTGTGTGATGGCTGTAGATGGATAAATTAGTGAGATTGCATCATGGAGGCCGTATTGTTAGCACAAGAGATGATAGTTTGGAATTTCTGGACATGTGTGAGGAGTTGTTGATTTTTTCTAAAACACCATCTTTGACCCAGTTAGTGGAGCGAGTGAAGGTTAAGTTAGGCTGAAATGAAGGAGACGTGCATGTTCAGTTTGAAGGTGTCATAGATATTGGGTTGTCGAAGGATCCTCGGATCAAGCGGTTGCTCAAAATTACAAGCGAGTCTGAATGGAATGATTACAAGCCAGTTGTATTGGCCTCAGAAATGCGATCTTTAGATTTAGTAGTAAGTAAGGAGTCCGGCTTAGGAAATGATAACTTCGAAGCATGCCCATCTTCCCCCGCTCACATAGGTTATGGTCCTTTGTCTGAAGAAGAAATACTTGTCACACAACTAGGCTACGGTGGTGGTGAAGTGTTTGGATCGCTCGAGCGTGATGGAGGTTGGTTTGAGGGCGGTGGAGATGAGGAGGAGAATGCGGTTGCCGATGGTGAGGGCAATCATGATAGTGATGAAGAGGATGATGATTATGTAATTGGTGATGTAGAAGAAGGTTTGGACGACGCTAGCGGAGACTTTTCTATTGAGGATGAGCTTAGCGACGAAGATGATCTTAGTGGTGAAGAAGACTTTGGTGATGCTAGGGCTACGAACCGTTTTGACATGGAGATAACTGGAGATGATGAATCCTTCATAGAGGAGATAGCCGAAGACTCTGATGACGATCGCCCTGTTGGTCGTCTCAATTTTAGGAAAATAGAGATATTTTCTAGGGTCTTGCCTTGGAGAGATCCACTAGTTGGTGATTTCGAGGACCTTAGCCATGGTCACAGGGCAGTAGCTGATGGTGGGCCAAGTGATACAACAGTGCTTGATGTTAGCGGTTGCCTCATCATACGGAAGGGCATATTGTTTGCTACCATGGATGAGTTGAAAATATGGTTGCAAGAGTACTCCATTGTACACAACCGACCTTTTAGGGTCATCAATTCATTTAAGGAGAAGAGGTACACTGTTGTTTGTGAAGAACAACAGTGTGGTTGGAGAGTATGTGCTAGTAAGACGAAGGCAGGCAAATGAAAGATTACCTCAATGAAGCAACCACATGTTTGTGCCACTGCTGAGGCAGAAGAGAACCATCTGCAGCTCAATTCTAGGTTCATTGCAAGGCAGTTATGCCCGTGGTGAAGCATATGCCAACCATTACGGTGTTCGCGTTGGTTGAGATCATCTTCCAACGGTACAATTACTATGTCAAGTATGGAAAAGCATGTAGGGCAAAGCAGCGTGCACTGGAAATAATATTTGGAAATTGGGAAGAAGCTTATGAGCACCTCCCTATAATGTTGAACGCAATGAGGGCTGTAAATCCTGGGATGCACTTCGAGTATTTACCTAAGGAGGGTGAAACAAGGAATGGTAGCCAGGTATTTGGAAGGGCCTTTTGGACGTTCGGGCATAGCATCGAAGCATTCAAGCATTGTAGGCCCGTCATCTCAATTGATGGGACCTTTCTTACAGGGAAATTTGAAGGCACAATGCTTGTTTATATTGGGACAGATGCAGAAGACCAGCTTGTGCCATTGGCCTTTGCGATTGTTCGGAAGGAGGACACGGATAGTTGGTGTTGGTTTCTCAGGCTAGTAAGACAAGTGGTAATTGGTCTGGGACGTGATGTTTGTGTGATATCCGATAGGCATCTTTGGCATTCGAATGTCAGAGAACAAAAGATTTACAGTTACGGCTTAAATACATCACCGGTGGTGCACCGTACACCTTGCTCGAGAATCTTATAAGGCGTGATCACATAAAGGACAACTTCAAATTATTTGAGGAGGTTTGCAGCACACAAGAAGAGGTTCAATTATTCAAAGACAAGCTAGATGCCACGAAGTTAGCCACAAATGTTGATGGCGAGCAATTCTTGAGCGAGTTGATGGCGTCGAAGGATAAGTGGTCACTTGCATATGACACCGGAGGTTGGAGATGGGGCTTCATGACTAGTAACATGGCGAGGAGATGTTCAATAGCCTTCTAAGATGTTGTGTGGTAGTGCACTTTGTGATCAAGCTATTGCCTTATTCACCTTCTACAAGTTGAATGCTTGGTTCGTTTTTTTGAGGAAGAAGCATGCGAGGTCTCTATGGACAACATGCAAAGCTTGGCCACTTTTAGCATCTCAGAACTAGCTTTCTCAAAGAAAAAGTCTAAACGATAGAAGGGTTCATGTTTCGATCCGATCAACCATGGATATGAGATTCTAGAGGGTGGTGGAACTAACATTGGTGGTGAAGACCGGGGTGCTAGAAAACATAAAGTAGTGATCAATGAGAACAAGTGTACATGTGGAAAACCGACCATATATACGGAGGCCTTGCTCCCACATGATTCTGACTGTCGCCTTAGACGTGTTGTTGCCGAGGTCCCTCCCCAGTATGGCCATGGAGTTCTCTTTGAGGAACCTAATGAGCACCTGGAATCCTTAGTTTGAGCCATTTCTTGACGAGAGTCAATGGCCTACTTATGATGGCCCCAAGTATGTGGCTAATCTTGGTTTACTCTGGAAGAGTAGAGGACCTAGGTGGCGGAAGTGGTTCAGGATGGACATGGACCGAGCCACGAAAGGTAGATCAACCACGAGTAAGGTTGGGACACATTTTGTAGAGGACACCCAAAAGAGCCGTTGCTCGCTGGTTGCCATAAGACAGAGGCCACAATAAGAGAAAATGTCCTGAACTACTTAGACAACGGTATCCACCAAGCTAGCTACTTGAATTGCTTTGTGTAATAGTGCATTGGTTTACTTTTGTTTTTTATTATTATGTTACTTGCACCACATATACATGCTTTAACTTATACTAATGCTTTGGCATTCCTTATGTTGCAAGATGGATCGGTTCCCCTTATTGATCCAAGGTTCGATGAGCACCACCGGGCTCGGAGGATCGAGAACGGAGAGGTATATTCAATAATTACGTATGAAAACAGGTGCATTGTTCATCTTTTGCTCTATAGTCCATGCTCTTTATAAAGTGACATGAACTAATACTTTTCATGCTTGTCTTTTTTGTAGGTTTTGAATGTCTTTGAGGCCAATGACACATGAGGCCTCTCGACCATAGTCTCATGGTCTACGCCCTTCCTAAGAGGTACACGCCCCTCCTAAAGTGGCGAACCTTGCTACTGTTAGATTTCGTGTTTGTCGTCCGTGGCACGCCACCTTTCAACCCTAATCTCGGCCGACGGCGTTGATAGATAGGTGGGTGGCGGCGTGAGACACACAACTTTCACCTACCGTCTTGGGAGATGACGGTCACTCTCGAGGGCGTTGCCATGATCCTTGAGTCAAAATCCAAGGAGATTCCCAAAGTGACATGGAGACACGGAGTGTCGGAAGGGATGGCAGCTTGGGTTGAGCACTTCTTGGGACGCCCCTAGCGGCGGTTGAGGTGGCAAGAAACAGCGCAGCGATGGGGCTGTCTCTGAGGTGGCTTCATCGGCAGTTTCGGGAGTGCCCACCCAACGTAGACGCCCAGACCGTGACATACTACTGTCGGGCCTCATGTGAGGTAAAAAAAGGCATGCCACACCAGTACATGATACATACAGAGGTCGTTACAGTATTACAAAGCTGTAGCTCGCTCGAACTGACTCCTTCAAGAGTTAGACAGCAAACATTGGACAGGAAGTCATGGGAGCAGCAGTATTTTGCCAATGTGTGTGCTAGTTTCCATCAACCTATGAGCCTCAGCTGCTTCAGATAACGGGAACGTCTTGTAAATCACCGGCTTCACCTTGCCAGCAGTGACTGCGGGCCACACATTCTTTTCCACCTCACTGACGATTTGAGCTTTATTAGCAAGGCTTCTGCTGCGCAGTCCAGCAGCTGCACGCACAAAAGATCATGAAACCTTAATCGAGTGCTAAAATAGAACACAACATTTAGGAATCCTATACAAGCACCTCCACCTATATAAAGAGAACAGCCAAAGACTGACAAAACATGTCAACCAGCAAAAATGTCATAACAACACGTCCTGAGCATCACTGCAATGTAGATAGGTTGTTATTGCCTGCAGGCATAGGCAACCAGAATACCTTGTATGGTCAAACGCCGTGCAAACACAGCTTGCAGGTTCACTTCAGTTACAGCACCGCCTTGGAAGCCAATGATGAAAACTCTACCATCAACACCTAAGCTGTTCAGATTGCGCTGGAGATATGGTCCTCCAATGTTGTCGAGAATTACATCAACACCTGGTAGATGTTCAGATTCCAGTCAGTAACACATATTAATTTGATTATAATGCCTTGACACATAACTGCTGCCAAATAAATAAATATATAAATATATATATATATATATATATATATATATATATATATATATATATATATAGAAGTAGTTCCTCCAGGGAATAATGGTACTAAGCATGCTGTTAACATTCAGTTGCTCAAAGAATGCTCTGTAAGATATGGACTTTAGATACAATACAAATGAGCTAATATTAAACATAATCAGGTGGTAGGATTATGCGATATACCTTTTCCATCAGTTTCCTGTTTGACACGCTCAACAAAGTCTTCAGTTTTGTAGTTTATGCATACATCAGCACCCAAATCTTTGCAGGCTGCTAGTTTTTCTTCACTTCCTATAATTTTTCAGCATGATTATTGGGGACATGACATCACCAAGAACATTTGACTGTGTCTTATTTGTGTTATAATGAACAAACCTGCCGTGACAAAAACCTTAATTCCAAGGTGCTTGGCAATCTGTATAGCAAATGTACCAATTCCACTTGATCCTCCATGTATCTGCAAAATTGAAGATACATGGTCATCCCGAACGAACACAAACAGAGAGATTCCCATCTAATTAGATGCTAAGAACCCCCAATTGCACTCCCCATTTCCTGGCAGTTAAGTACTGGAAGTTACTCCAAATAGGAGTAGGTGGCTGAGAAGAATTTGGCACCTCTTTCAGTACTTTTATTTGGGCTTTATTTTACTATTCTCAGTCCCAGCTGGTGATGGCTTGCTGATTTCTCGTGGAGCAAAAGAAATCCACAAGAAGATAATCAGCAGATAGAAATCATTTGTGATGCTTATTGATTCAAATTAATTGGTTAAAACCATTTATGATCCTTACTGATTTATGTATACAAAATTGGAATCAGGAAATCACGATGCCATCCCATCCCTAGAGGATGCACCTACTTAGCTAACCGAGTTCTGCACTTCTCTTGGACGCAGCTACGTAGAAGGAAATAGGGAAGTGTTCTTACAAGGAACGATTCACCGGGGGAGAGGTGGCTGGTCATGAACACGGTGGACCAGACAGTGCAGGCCACCTCGGGTAAGCCGGCCGCGTCCGTAAGGGACACGCCCTCCGGCACCGGCAGCAGCTGGCCCGCCGGCACCACCACCTTCTCCGCGTACCCGCCTCCGCTAAGGACCGCGCAGACCTGCAGGGCGACAGCAGCACGGGGCACAAAACAAATCACACACAGCAGCAGCAGAAGCGAAATCTAAGTTCGCCACAGGAGGCAGGCAGGGGCAGGGCAGCGGATCCACTCCACCTTGTCGCCGACGGCCCACCGCGGTGGGGCGTTGGGGCCGAGCGCGAGGATGGTGCCGGAGCACTCGAGCCCCGGGTACGGGGGCGCGCCGGCTGGCGGCGGGTGGCGGCCGTGGCGCTGGAGCGTGTCGGCGCGGTTGACGCCCGCGGCGGCCACCTGGAGGAGGACCTCCCCGTCTCCCAGCGGCGCGGGGTCCTCCACCTCCTGCGCCTCCAGCACCTCCGGGCCGCCGCCGCCGCGCGTGATCACCACCGCCCTCATCTTCCTCGCGTCGTCCCCTTGGGTCGCTGCAGCTGCTTGCCCTTTCCGATAATTACACCGGCAACCGCACTAGGAGCACACGACTCTGCTACTGCACCAGAAACACAATCTTTCACTATAACTGTCATTCCGAAAATAATTGTGCATCTCGTTTATCTCGTTTTTACGAGGCAAACCATTTTAAATTAAATTAAATTTTATTTAAAAAATATTAATATTTATGATGTGTAATAAATATTATTAAATTAGCATAAAGGAATATAGTTTCATAAAAACATATTAAGAGATGTAAATATCGACAATATTTTCTATAAATCCAATTAATCATTAAAAAGTTTTAATTCTAAAAAAAATGAGATGCTCAGTTATTTTGGGTTAGAGAGAGTATTTAACGAGTTTGATACTTTGTGTAGTGCAAAAAAGTAACTCAGGAGGGAGGACGACTGATGTACTTTGTTTTTTCTTTGTGAACTCTCAAGGAGCAATGGAGCATCATCATGTTCCCTTGGTTGAAAGCAATTCATTCTTATATCTGATAACATCTTTCTCTTAGCAATACCAAGGGAACTGAGTGTGAATGCATCAAACAGGGAGATAGAACTAACTTCTGAAAAGCTGTGTCCATAACAATAACGTCTTCTCTTCAGCAGCCTTGTGGGACTTATGGAAGCTAAGAAATCACATCAGTTTTCACAGAGCAAGATGATCACTCTGTTTGAAAATTTTCAGGGAGCAAGGTGAGATGGCACGCACAAAGATTTTCTTTCTTCTAAATAAACGAACTTTTTTTTGAGCAATCTAAATAAACGAATTAGGCAATAGCTGAAGCCAGTCCAAATCGGCAACCAGCCTCGGCCCATGTACTACTTTACTACCTTGACGGCCCAGTTTCACACTGCGTGAGGCCTATCTGAAGCGTACCGCATGGAGCTAGCCGCTCAGCCGTCCGAGCGTGATCCAAAGGCAGAGCGGTGTTAGACTCTGACCACCGCCAAAAAAAATACAACACTCATTCGTCCTTTACGTAGCGCTACAGGTAAAGGGTTCAATACCTATTTTTTATCTTCTTCAATAACAAGACTCAAAAGACAACTCTTTTTACAAATAGGTCTCAGGGAGAGAGAAGATACTCAGATTTGGGTTATGCCTCTCTAATCACTTAAAATGAGTCTTCCATATAGGTATTATGTTGGAGACCCATTTTAGATTTGGATTCCACAATGGGTTTCCTGTTAGAGACAGCCTTACCGCATCTCTCTCAGGAGTCAAGACCTAGAGACGCGTGGGGATTAGTCCCACCTCGACGCCGCAGAGAGGGTGAGGAGGCGAGGCGGCTACATAAATGCAGCCCATGGGCAACGTTGGTCCATACTTACCTGGACGGGGTCGATGGGTGATCAGTAAGGTCCATGGCCTAGATCAGTGGCCCCACGTTGCACTTGGTGAGCGCAGCTAGTCTATCATCTCCCCAAGTGGCAGAGTGGACGTCATAATTTGTGGTCGAGGGGGTACGCATTCGCGCGGCCCCGCCAATTCTAACAATTTAAATTTTGGTCCTTGGCTTGTTAAAAGCAAGATTTGCAGAATTTGGTTAGGGGTCCTTTGAGCAATATGGGCTAAAATTTGGTCCCTGCCAAGAATACCTTGTTTGGTCCCTGCCAAGGATATCTTGTAACCAGGCAGATTCTGTTTTCATTAGCTTTTATTTTTCTTCTTCTTATTATTCCATCAATTAAATAAAGCTCGTTGTGCCAAGTAATGAAGTTAAATAATTGTCACGTTATTAGAGTCTTGACATTCACTCTCCGGCACTCAACTCAATAATTGTCACATTATTAGAGTTAGTATTTGACTTAATTCACTCTCCGACACTCGAAGCAAGTGTGGATCGTGTTGATATGGTACGTCGTAACGAGTTGTTGCATCTTCACTAGAAGAGAAATTCATATGAAAATAGCAAATACAAGCTCTTTAGCGCCCTCCGTTCTATTGTTTTTGCCAGAATCTACATCTACACTGTAGATGATCTCATGAAAAACGATTGAGCGAGGAAAAAAAAAAGATAGCTTCAACTTGTCCAGTACCACGTCCACGCTACATTTAGATTACGTGCACACGCGATTTATTGTTTCTTTTGACTTTCATGAAATCTAGGAAAGGAGCGTCCAGGTACGGATTGTGCTATCACTCGCTCTTCTTGTTCTTGGCATAATACTTCTCTATGGTAGAGAACCAATTCCACTGGAAACAAAGCGCCGCAAACCGCAAGAGTCCAGCGCCTATCACCTCTATGGACGCCGTTAACGGGGAGCTCTGCGGGGATAAACCAGCAGTGGCTGCAGCTAGCATTTCGCCCTCGAAATTGCAGGGGACAATGAATTTTGCAGACTTGATGCCGTCCAGAGCCTTCTTGGCGACATCGTCGGCCTTCATTCCGCCAGACGATCCTGCTATGATGTTTGTCAATTCCGACCTCCTCTTTAGCTCTGAAATTAGGCAAACCACATTCTCAGTATTCATCAGTAACAAAAATGTGTAGAATGTGTCTTTTTTCAGAACTTAGGATGAAATCTTAGTGACACATTTTCTACTTTTTCCCCCCAATTTTTTTGCTGGCGTGCTTGAGAAAATGATACTAGGGAAAAAAAACATGTACTAGTGAAACAGATGATAGCATACTATGAGCCTCGCACCGAATGGAACAAAATGTACATCCCTATCCTATACCCAATCCTTTTTATCCTTTATTTGCATATCCCAAACCCATGCAACATCCAAATGTCACATGTGTGGTCTTAGAGCATCTCCAAGAGTTCTATTAAATTTAAATCTTCTAAATCCTCATGTAGGGTACATTCTAACAAAAAATCCTCTCGAAATATCTCTTCTCCAACAGTTACCCTATCTCAAATAATATATAGGGTGGACAACATGACATCTCAAATTTGAGAGGGAGAGAGGATAATTTAGGATAACACTAAATACGGGATGTTGAATAGGACTGTTGGAGGGTGATTTTTGTTGCATAAACCTTAATTTTAAATCTAGAAGATGAATAAGAAAACTCTTAGAGATGCTCTTAAAGGCTGTAAACCACACTCCTAGCACAAGATTTCACTGACCCCACTAGTCCATATGACTAAAAAAAGGTGCAGATTGGGTCGCATCATATTAAGTGGACAAATTATCGCCTAACATGTTGGAATGAATCATCCATGTTTTTTATTATCTTTTGTAGAATTTTTTTTTGTCTTATAACGATGGAGGAGAACAAGCAGTCAAGCACATCCCCTTCGCCTAAATGAACAACCTAGCTAGGCCCTAGGGATGCAGATATGGGACGTTTGGCTGGTTAAGCCGCTTGTGCTGATTTGTACGGCTGATTTGTTGAGAGAGAAAAATACTATACCATAGCTGATAAACTGGCTTATAATCCGGCTTATATGAGCAGCCGAACAGGGTGGTTGCGTGGGACTGGGAGAGGAGTAGAGCCTGGTGCCGAAGCAGGTGCAGCAAAGGCAGCCTCCCAGCCTGAACTCCAATCCATTTCGCGTTAGGCAGTGTCCAAATCAAGCTAAAATTTGGCGCCCATAAAGCAGGCAACCAAACAGCAACTATATCAAGGCTGGCCCAACTGAGATAAACCAACCAAACCAACCTGCTTGTATATGCCGGCCATGCATACTGCCTGGCCTGGTGGACACACGCACATACTAGTCACCAAACCAGTCACGCAATTAACGATGTTGTGCAACAGCTTGAGCTCAACAACACTGTTCGTCAGCGACCTTGATGAAGAATGCCAGAGTCTGCAGATCGGCAGGCATTATTGCCGGGTCAGCAGCGGTCTAAAGAATATACTGATAGCACGCTGACAAAGATAGAGTGTAGCTGCCATTTTATTACTGCACAGTACATACTACTTCAGCGGTACTTTTCAGCGAATGAAGTTTTCCTCTCGCAACAAATCAGCATAAGCATCAGCCAAATTTCAGCCTCATGAGAGGTAAAAAAAAAGGCATGCCACACCAGTACATGATACATACAGAGGTCGTTACAGTATTACAAAGTTGTAGCTCGCTTGAACTGACTCCTTCAAGAGTTAGACAGCAAACATTGGACAGCAAGTCATGGGAGCAGCAGTATTTTGCCAATGTGTGTGCTAGTTTCCATCAACCTATGAGCCTCAGCTGCTTCAGATAACGGGAACGTCTTGTAAATCACCGGCCTCACCTTGCCAGCAGTGACTGCGGGCCACACATTCTTTTCCAACTCACTGACGATTTGAGCTTTATTAGCAAGGCTTCTGCTGCGCAGTCCAGCAGCTGCACGCACAAAAGATCATGAAACCTTAATCGAGTGCTAAAATAGAACACAACATTTAGGAATCCTATACAAGCACCTCCACCTATATAAAGAGAACAGCCAAAGACTGACAAAACATGTCAACCAGCAAAAATGTCATAACAACACGTCCTGAGCATCACTGCAATGTAGATAGGTTGTTATTGCCTGCAGGCATAGGCAACCAGAATACCTTGTATGGTCAAACGCCGTGCAAACACAGCTTGCAGGTTCACTTCAGTTACAGCACCGCCTTGGAAGCCAATGATGAAAACTCTACCATCAACACCTAAGCTGTTCAGATTGCGCTGGAGATATGGTCCTCCAATGTTGTCGAGAATTACATCAACACCTGGTAGATGTTCAGATTCCAGTCAGTAACACATATTAATTTGATTATAATGCCTTGACACATAACTGCTGCCAAATATATATATAGAAGTAGTTCCTCCAGGGAATAATGGTACTAAGCATGCTGTTAACATTCAGTTGCTAAAAGAATGCTCTGTAAGATATGGACTTTAGATACAATACAAATGAGCTAATATTAAACATAATCAGGTGGTAGGATTATGCGATATACCTTTTCCATCAGTTTCCTGTTTGACACGCTCAACAAAGTCTTCAGTTTTGTAGTTTATGCATACATCAGCACCCAAATCTTTGCAGGCTGCTAGTTTTTCTTCACTTCCTATAATTTTTCAGCATGATTATTGGGGACATGACATCATCAAGAACATTTGACTGTGTCTTATTTGTGTTATAATGAACAAACCTGCCGTGACAAAAACCTTAATTCCAAGGTGCTTGGCAATCTGTATAGCAAATGTACCAATTCCACTTGATCCTCCATGTATCTGCAAAATTGAAGATACATGGTCATCCCGAACGAACACAAACAGAGAGATTCTCATCTAATTAGATGCTAAGAACCCCCAATTGCACTCCCCATTTCCTGGAAGTTACTCCAAATAGGAGTAGGTGGCTGAGAAGAATTTGGCACCTCTTTCAGCACTTTTATTTGGGCTTTATTTTACTATTCTCAGTCCCAGCTGGTGATGGCTTGCTGATTTCTCGTGGAGCAAAAGAAATCCACAAGAAGATAATCAGCAGATAGAAATCATTTGTGATGCTTATTGATTCAAATTAATTGGTTAAAACCATTTATGATCCTTACTGATTTATGTATACAAAATTGGAATCAGGAAATCACGATGCCATCCCATCCCTAGAGGATGCACCTACTTAGCTAACCGAGTTCTGCACTTCTCTTGGACGCAGCTACATAGAAGGAAATAGGGAAGTGTTCTTACAAGGAACGATTCACCGGGGGAGAGGTGGCTGGTCATGAACACGGTGGACCAGACAGTGCAGGCCACCTCGGGTAAGCCGGCCGCGTCCGTAAGGGACACGCCCTCCGGCGCCGGCAGCAGCTGGCCCGCCGGCACCACCACCTTCTCCGCGTACCCGCCTCCGCTAAGGGGCGCGCAGACCTGCAGGGCGACAGGCGACAGCAGCACGGGGCACAAAACAAATCACACACAGCAGCAGCAGAAGCGAAATCTAAGTTCGCCACAGGAGGCAGGCAGGGGCAGGGCAGCGGATCCACTCCACCTTGTCGCCGACGGCCCACCGCGGTGGGACGTTGGGGCCGAGCGCGAGGATGGTGCCGGAGCACTCGAGCCCCGGGTACGGGGGCGCGCCGGCGGGCGGCGGGTGGCGGCCGTGGCGCTGGAGCGTGTCGGCGCGGTTGACGCCCGCGGCGGCCACCTGGAGGAGGACCTCCCCGTCTCCCAGCGGCGCGGGGTCCTCCACCTCCTGCGCCTCCAGCACCTCCGGGCCGCCGCCGCCGCGCGTGATCACCACCGCCCTCATCTTCCTCGCGTCGTCCCCTTGGGTCGCTGCAGCTCTGCAGCTGCTTGCCCCTTCCGATTATTACACCGGCAACTGCACTAGGAGCACACGACTCTGCTACTGCACCAGAAACACAATTTTCACTATGACTGTCATTCCGAAAATAATTGTGCATCTCGTTTATCTCGTTTTTACGAGGCAAACCATTTTAAATTTAATTTAATGTTAAAAATTAGTAATATCCCCTTCCGATTATTACACCGGCAACTGCACTAGGAGCACACGACTCTGCTACTGCACCAGAAACACAATTTTTCACTATGACTGTCATTCCGAAAATAATTGTGCATCTCGTTTATCTCGTTTTTACGAGGCAAACCATTTTAAATTTAATTTAATGTTAAAAATTAGTAATATCCCCTTCCGATTATTACACCGGCAACTACACTAGGAGCACACGACTCTGCTACTGCACCAGAAACACAATTTTTCACTATGACTGTCATTCCGAAAATAATTGTGCATCTCGTTTATCTCGTTTTTACGAGGCAAACCATTTTAAATTTAATTTAATGTTAAAAATTAGTAATATTTATGATGTGTAATAAATATTATTAAATTAGCATAAAGGAATATAGTTTCATAAAAACATATTAAGAGATGTAAAAACTATGCGTCCACGCTTTCTGCTATTAACGTGACCACTATTCGTCCTATTCCTTTAGTCAGCGATTATGCGCGAAGGCCCCCAAAAAGACTCATCTTCGCATCGGGGGTTGCCCGAAGCCCTCGTGCTCACCGACGCGGCGTTGACCGGCACGGAGCCGCTACGCCGGCCAACTGGGACCCACGCAGACCTAGCTAGGGGGTCGATGCTCACCTACGGACCGCCGCGCAACGCTAGGCAGCGGTTAGAAGACCGGAGACGAAGTAGGGTGACTTCTCCACGTCGACGGGCAACCTGCGGTGGCGATGACAACGTTCCGGTGAGCCACGGCGCTAAGGGAGTAGTAGAGGTAGCGGGTGAGCATCAGCGACTCACCAAGGACCTGGGTGAGGCGTTGGTTCGGCCGGAGATGCCCCGAGCAAGGCTGGCCACGTACCCGCGGCGAGCTCGACGACGAGCTGCGGCGGACACGACCGCGTCAGCAGCGTTGGGACAACGGTGGGGGTACAGGCTTCAGTGCGCATGGCGAGGAGGGGTTCGAGGCGAGTCTAGCGGTGCAACCAATTTGGCTCGAGGTGGTCAGATAGGAGCTGCCCTCGGTGATGGGTGGACTCAGCCTTATCGGCACGGTGGCGGGGAAAACTCCAAAATTAAAGCTCGCAGGGCACCATTCAAGGCGGGGTGGGAATGGTCGGCTAGGCGGCTTGATGGCGCCGCCAGAGACGCAATGAAACAACCTGAGGTGACCTCTCCCTGCCGAATTTACTTTCGCGGCTCAGTCGGCCATGGTGGGAGAGAGAAGAGGGGAAAACTGGAGCTTAACGCGACCTCGTCTTGGCGAGACGCGGCCGACGCGACCAGGGCGACACGCGCGCCGACGCTACGGACAACACACATGCGTCTTCGACCGAGCACTGTCTGCGTGGCCGCAGCGCCATAAATGGCAAGGCGACGGTGCGGGCAGCAGGGGAGGGGGCAAGCCCTCGTGCGCACAGCGAGGAGACGAGCAACAACACGATGCAGTACCAGCAGCAGCGGCATCGCAGCAGAGCAACAGGGAACGAGGCGGCCGCGCAGCAGGGCGACAATGGCGGCCACGGCGCAGGGCCCGCGGTGGTAGCAGCACCCCAAGGCAAGGGCAGGCGGCCAACTGTGGCCGGCCACGCCCAGCCATGGCCAAGCCAGGAGCAGGCCCGGCCGGCATGGCCTCGGCAACAGGCGCGATGCCGAGCTACGGGAAAGGTGGTGATCACAGCCCCTGGCCAGACAGCCCGAGGCCGTTCACGTGCACAAATTTTAAAGCATCAACCACGACTAAACCAACTCGATTGAGTCACAACCACCTAGACCATACCAAAGAGTGTACATTGGACTACCGTTAGGAGCAATAACGTAGCACTGGCCTTTAGCTACATTTTTCAGAATTAATTCCCCAACATGGCACTGCCATTCTGTTTTCAGACATGAAATTTGCTAAGTCTAGGGCTGATTTTTATTTCAACTTCAATTTCCAAGCTACTAAAAATACTAGCCAACAATTTTATTTTTCTACAGCAAGAGTTGCATTGTTGTCTACAAAGTTCATATTCCAAACTTTATTTAAGTGCCATATAGATGTTCTATAGTATTTTTGTTCAATAAAAATTGACTTAAAACCCTACTTGATAATTACATGAGTCATGGAATAGCTTCTCGTTTAGCATTTTTATTGATCATTTTAGGTTGCAATACTTCATATATTCATTCCATCACATACAATATCACGTAAACATAATGCTCATGACATGATTTGATAATTTGCTTAGGGCGTAACACTGAGGGTGTTACAATGCGCCCACTCTTCCGTCACTGTTGTTGGTTCGTACTGCTCTCTCCCTTTCCATCAGCTCACTTTCCCTTCCACGTGTTTACTCTCATCGTCGCGCGGTTAGCAATGAAGATTAGGTCAAATTTTCTACCGCTGCAGTGGAAAATTGCAGGCAACGGATGTAGGATGAGTACCTGGGTCTCAAGTCTCAACTCTCAATAGTGAATACCATAATGTCGCCTAGTCAATTACTACTAGTTTATCATTGACCTTTGTTGGGTTTCAGACTTGCTGTGTCATTTGGTTGAAACACAAATTTCTAACATTTAATTTAATGACGACGACAGTTAGATATATTTGCATTTGGACTGGTTGATCAGTTCAACAGTTACACCACCGTGCCACCTCATGACCTGCAATATAGTTTGCTTGGTCATTGGATCCTCGGAGTGAGATAGAATCCATTGCTCCAGGATACCCAGGAATTGCTCACAGTCTCACACATGAAACTAGTGAGGCACAACTTAGTCTGGTCTCTGGTGGTTGCTCACTCTTGCTCCATGTGTTAAGGACAATCTTCACCTTTAATGCTAATATCTGGGTGCAGTGTTTTATGCCTTTGTAATTTTCAATCAAGCAGTGAAATTTTTGTTTTCATACTTTATGGCAGATTGGGGTGTTCAAGCGATAGTAAGCGGGCTGCTTTCCCTGTTCCTTTCACGATGAGAACATATCGATCGTTGTCAAAGAAGATGATGAGGCACTATCTAGTCTAGTACTACTGTACTAGCAGCGATGGTGCAGCTTTGCTTGCATCTGTTTGTCGAGGCTGTCAAGGGCAGCATGGTTGAAGCAAATCGGCACTAGAAAATATTAACCAGGGTCGGCCCATATGCTAGTTTACTAAGTTATCGGCCCAGTTCCACACCGCGGCCTAGCTGGAGCGCACCGCGTGAAGCCGCTCAGGTTCAGCCGTCTGGGCGGGGATCCAACATCCAAGCGGGGAAGCGGCGTTGCGGCTTCGTCTCAGCGTCAGCACCCAGAAGCGTGAGGGGATTTAGTCCCACCTCGGCACCGCAGGGAAGGCGCGAGGGGGCGTGATGGCTATATAATGCAGCCAGGGACAACGTTTCTCCATACTTACCTGGACAGGGTCGATGAGTGATCATGAAGGCCCTTGGCCTAGATCAGTGGCCTACATTACACTTGGTGGGTGCGCGCTGGTCTACCATCTGGTGAGTGGATGTCATAATTTGTGGTAGAGGGATGTCATAATTTGTGGTAGAGAGGCGGCGCAGCAGCAGCCCCACCCCCACAAATTAAATTTTGGTCCTTGAAAAGGTAGGGGCTTTCGGCGAATTTGGATCCGAGAGCTCGACGGACCTCGACAACATGATCTTCTCGATGGGATCAACCTTCATCTTCGGTTCATGGATCTGCGAGGCAGTTGACAATGGCAAGCTCCAAAGCCGTCTTCTCGAAGATCGGATCACCATGAAGACCATTCGTGGTAGAGGGGGTACGCGTTCGCGCGGCCCCACCCCCACAAATTAAATTTTGGTCCCTGGAATAGGAAGAGAAGGTGGATGTCATAATTTGTGGTAGAGGGGGTACGCGTTCGCGCGGCCCCACCCCCACAAATTAAATTTTGGTCCCTGGAATAGGAAGAGAAGGTAGGGATTGCTTGGAACCTCTAAGACATGGCACCCCAGCCCTAGCCGCCTTTTCTTATGATGTCTCGAAAGCGGAATCTCACCATTCGAGAAGCTATGGAATCGTCAACTCCCTTACCAAGTAGACTATGAAGTCACTTTTGTTTTTTTGGTTGTGTATGCTATGTGTTTGTGCCCAGTCATCTACGAAGTAAATTCGACAAGAAAGCAAAGTAATCGCAATTTTTAACTTCGCTGATCCAACAACACCAGTTCCTCGATCTTGAGAGTATTTCAGTACGGGTACTTCGGAATCTGAAGCAAGCAGGTTTCATTCCTGGTAAAGGTGATTGGTCGGTACTCCCCTCTACCAACCCACGAGCTAAAGGAAAAGGAAAGAGGAGAAGGAAGTAGACAAAAGTAGTGATTTCTTCATTACCGGAGCCTTCTCGGGTAGTCTACTTATGACGGCTCGTTCACAGGGCTCTTCGCGCTGTCTTCAATATTAGTATTTGTCCAAACCAACCAGTAGTAGAAATTAAGAAATGGTAAGATTTGAGACTATGAAAGACCCGTTTGTTTACCAATTTGTCAACTATAAAGAATTTGTTATGAAATGAATGAGCAAACCAGCAGAACCAAGAAATGGGAGGGATGGGGTTTAAGGATTTTGAATTATTTAACCTTGCCCTCCTAGCGAGACAAGCGTGGAGAATGCTGCAAGAACCAGAAAGTTTGAGCGCAAGGGTGCAAAATGTATTTCCCTGATGAAGACTTCCTAAGAGCAGAGTTAGGAAACCGACCATCGCAGATTCAAGGTCTATTCCTACCGCTACAGTTTAGTTGTACCTTTCTTTGAGTCAGGCGACAAAGGAAGGTTCTATACTTCTGGTTA